GCCGCGGGGGCTCCCATTGGCTGGCCCGTGTGGCCGACTGGGCGTTCAGCACGCGCTGATTGGTCGGCGCGGGCCGGCGGAGTAAGTAGTGAATGGGAGGGGGCGGAGGCCCCGCCCCTCGGGACGTTGATACATTATAACTTTTTTTTCCTGTTACTTTCACCCCCAGATCCTCCGGCTGCGGCGGCGGCGGCGGCGGCTGTTGCTAAGGGAGGGGACGCGCGGGGAAGCTCGGCCCGAGCGGCAGACGGCCCTGAGCGCGGCCGGCTGAGTGGCCCCCCCCTCCTCCGGGACCCTTTCCCGCGCCCGCCGCCCTTGAAAGGAGCTGAGAGTGTAGTCCCCACCCAGGAAGGTGCCCCGACGAGCCGACGCGACTCCGGAGCGCCACTCGGATTTTTGATTCTTGATTCGCCTTCCGCTCCTGGGACTTTCTCGAAGGGAAAGCGCGCTGCCCCCCGCCCTCAGGAGCCCCGAGGACCCCGGTTTGGGGAGCCCCCCCGCCCTGCCCGGAGGCGCGGCAAGAATTGGCGGCGCCCCGCGGACTCCAGCCCCCCAGCGCGGGCCGGGGATGGAGCCGCAGCCCGGCGGCGCCCGGAGCTGCCGGCGCGGTGCCCCCGGCGGTGCCTGCGAGCTGGGCCCAGCGGCCGAGACGGCGCCCATGAGCCTGGCCATCCACAGCACGACGGGCACCCGCTACGAGCTGTCGGTGCCCCCCGACGAGACGGTGGAGGGGCTGCGCAAGAGGCTGTCTCAACGCCTCAAAGTGCCCAAGGAGCGCCTGGCGCTGCTCCACAAAGACACGTAGGTACCGCGCGCCCCCAGCCCCCGCGCCCCCCGGGCCCGCCGCCCCCTCTGGCCCCGGCCCCGGGGCGGGAACAAAGAGCGCGCCGCTCGGGGAAGGAAGGGGGCGGCCAGACGGGGGGGCGGGGGCGCGCCGCGCGCTCTCGGGCGCCCTCTGCTCGGCCCTGCCTGTCTTGGCCCCCTCCCCCGCCCGGGGTCTCTGCACAAAGGCGGCTGCGAGGGCGCCTCGGGTCGGGCTTAGGCGGCGTCCCCCACCGGAAGGCAGGAGTCCCGGGCGGCGCGGGGGTCACAGCTACGGGGGTGGGGGGTGCGGCGGCTGCCTCCTCTGCCTGCGACCCGCCGGCTTCCGCATCTGCTCGGCGGCCCCCTCTGCGTCTGGCTGCCTCTACCCCCACTTGCGTCTCTCTGCCCCCC